GAGGGTGGTGAAACACTGGAACAGGTTGCCCAGAGAGGTGGTGGACACCCCATCCCTGGGAACATTCAAGGCCAGGTTGGATGGGGCTCTGAGCAACCTGATCTGGTTAGCGGTGTCTCTGCTCCTGCGGGGGGGTTGGACTAGATGACCTCTAGGGGTCCCTTCCAACCCAAAACATTCTATGATTCTATGTGGAAGTGCCCCCTTAGTCTGGACATGTGGACTATAAGCCAAGGTGGTAATTGATGTGGGAGAATAATTTGTAGAGCATACTTTTTTCTTTTTTTAATAGTCATGTAAATCTCTTGAAGTATTAGGGCTATTACAAATTTAATATTTGGAAATGAGAGCTAAATTATTTTACTTCCTCTCAACTTACTGACTTTCTACCTTGCTGAACATCTTTCTTTCTCACCAATGAAGATAATTTTTTGCCTGCTGGTAGCAAATATACTGTTAGAAGCACAGACTTGTGCTGCCAGTATTGTAAATCTAGTATTGCCACCAGATTAATCCTATGGATTTGCTACGAATCAGGTAGAATGGGTTTTTACGTTATTCAGTATGAAATATTTAGCATCTGTCTTTTATGTCTGCAGTGTTCTGCATTGCAGATGTGAACTGGACTAACAACTGGAGGCCTGTTCTTGTCTGGCAATGCTTATATCTCTAAGAACTTATCAGTTTGCTTCAGCAAACGTTGCTGTTGCTCATGTAGAGTTAAAATATTCTTAGTGTGATGTTTAAGTTGCAGCACAGCGATGAGATGCAGTGCCACTTGCCAGCAGTTTATCAGAATGTGCCTTTGCGTCAGGCGCAAGGAAAGCGGGGCTGTTGTGGAGGAAAGCTGGCTTACAGTGTGATAGACAAACAGGTCATCTCACGTGCAGAATATTCAGGTTTTGTAGGAGGTTCCAAACAGTAAAATTCTGCTGCTTGAAAAAGGTTGGTGATAAGGACAGTTGTGGGCTTTTTGGCGGCTGTTACGTTAATGAAGAATTCCAATGACATAGATTTTGGCTATAATACAGGAATCCATTCTAATGAATTGTTGACAAAAGTAAACACTTGGGTTTTTTACAGAGAGGCTTTGAAGACAGGCTGCCTCCACAAATGTTCCACTGAACAATAGTTACCAGGCTGGGTAGAGACATTTCTGTTTTGCTGTATTTAGGAAAAGCTAAACGCTTAAAACAAGAGAGGGGCATGTTTTGGAACATGTTCTAGGAAGAAAAAGTACAGTCAGGCAATAGAATATATGAAACAGATTCTTGAAAAAGTGCGGAGCTAGTTTCAAGATCAGGACTGCAATCACCTGTATACTTCTTTAGAAGCACTATTGACAGTGCTATTAACTTACTTTCCTTATTCAAGAATAACAAATTTCAAATTCAAACTTAATAATCATAGGCTGCCTGTTGATGATATATGTGAACAGCAGAGAATAAGTTTCATCAAAACTTTTTGATAAAAACCTTTTTTTAACTCTGCAGTCATAAACCCATCATGTTGGAAACTCCAGGGGAAAGCAAAAAAATTAAGCTACTTAAGAAAATAGTGGATATCAGTCTGGTCTAGAAGGTAATAGGAAAGGAGATCTCTTTTACTTACGGCTACTACTGTTTTCTTCTACTTATATAATATATAAGCATATATAATATGCTTTTATGTTTTTATGAAAAATGTTATGGGATGCCCTTATCCTCTGCTCACAGGCACAGCCATAGGCCATGTATAGGCTATGAAGCAATTTCTGGTTTCGGTGAAATACTTAAACTTTGGGGAATATTGGGTCAACTACTCATAAGATGCAGTTAGCATCCTGTCCTCTATCCAACCGAGCAGTTCCCGTTTACCTGTTCAGTCTAGGAAGATGGTAGAAATGGCAAGGAAGGAATATTCCATCTTTTCCTATACATACGCTTCGGCAGGTAACTTCCTCTTAGTCTTTTGTCATTTAAAATTGCTATTGTGACAGCAGCGGGAGAAATGTTGAGGAAAATGCATTAATTTGCCTTTTAAATTTTACTTATTTGCTTTTGTGGGGTACCTTTCACCACAAGTGAAAAAAATTTGTTATAGCTTTTTATTGAGGCTTTTTCTTCTATTTACCCTTTTTATAGTTGAAAGCATTGCTCACCCTATCATATTGAATTTTGAAGGATATTTTTTCCATTTCTTAGTACAGGTTGAAACTGAGGCAGTATTCTGATTGAAACAGCTGATCATCCTGGTTATCTTTTGTGTCACCTGTACAATTGCTGTCCACTGAAATTAGTTTGCTTTTGTAGGCTTTGGACTGTGTTACAGCTTTGAATACATTTTTGTATAATGAGACGTGTATGTCTGGGTACTCACCTTAATAGTTAGTGAGGAAAGCATGCTTATTAAACAGAAAGAAATTGTATTTGACACATTTTAAAGTATCACAACTCATAAATTATTGACTAGAATAATTGTCTACTTAAACCTTACTTTTTGAATACAGAGGCCAGCTGGAGTAGCAACCATCTCTATATAAAAGAGAAACAGGTTCTGAAAGAGAATTAAACATTGTCTGTTGAAAAAATGAGAATAGCTCCCACATTAACCATGTTTACAGCAACTAGAAACTGTCCCACAGGTTTCTTTAATCACATGTATGGGTGTTTTCAACATTGTAAAACATGAAGCCTAATGATTTTTTGCAGAAGAGTGGAAACTGAATAATAGCAATTTTAGCACACACAAGATATTATCAGACTATTCTGCTACCAAATGTTTGCAAATGAGAGGAGGCTGAGGGCTGGTTTTATATACAATCATAGAATGGTTTGGGTTGGAAGGGACCTTCAGAGGTCATCTAGTCCAAGCCCCCTGCAGTGAGCAGGGACACCTTTAACCAGATCAGGTGTTGGGTCCTCCATGGCCTGCAGTAATATCTGCTCTGATGTGGTCCTCTACGGGCTGCAGGGAAATACCTGCTTCACCATGGGCTGCTCTATGAGCTGCAGGGGAATCCCTGCTCTGGAGCCTGGAGCACCTCCTCTCCTTTCTCCTCTGACCTTGGGGTGTGCAGGAATTTCTCACACTTCCTTTACCTTACTCCTCACACTGCCAGGCAGCATTTTGACCTTTCTTACATGTGTTTTCCCAGAGGTGTCACCAGCATCGCTGTTGGGTTCAGCTGTGTCCTATGGTGGGTCCACACTGCATCCAGCATGGGGCAGCCCCTGGCCTCTTCTCACAGAGCCTACCTTGAAGTCCCCCTCCAGCAAACCTTGCCCCATACACCCAATATATCAAGTATGCAGCATGATAGGGTGTCTATTCTTAAGGGGCATAGAAGAACAAAAAAATTCTGAATATAAATGTTTAAGCACTCAGTGGATGTGGCAGTGGTGCACCTGAGAGTTCTCAGGAGTAGAGGAACCCTGGCAAGATTACGGAGGAGTGTTTTATATGTGAATGGGAACAGCATGTACGCTATTCTTGAAATAAATTCTATGCAGTATTTGGATATTTTCACGGATGTTGTGTGATTTTTGTTTGTTCTAGGGAGTATGACTTCTGCAACATCACCTATCATTTTGAAATGGGACCCCAAAAGTTTGGAAATCAGGACTCTCACAGTAGAGAGGCTATTGGAGCCGCTCGTTACCCAGGCAAGTATCTTCAATTTGTTTTGCTTCTTCCTTTAGCCTGATGCTGTATTTACTCATTTTACATAATTATCTTAATAATCTTTGATAATAAAAACTTGAACGGTTTTTGTTCGTGATCTGAAGTGGAAAGCTCTGTTCAAACATGTTTAGAAGTTCTTGTTCTAAATAATTTATAGTCTCAAAGTGTGAGTGGGAATGCAGTAGCAACAACTATTTACTTATGTTTTGTCTTTTAAGAGCATTTTAGAAATTTACGAAACAGTCAATTTAAGACAGGAACCTGACTGAGTACATACTCTTGGTTTGTTATTATACCATGGAAGATGGATTCACATTAAAAACAAACAAAACCAACCAACCAAATTAAAGAAACTATTAAAACCTGTTTCACTTTGTGCTGCGATCGACTAGGAGTGTATGCTCAACCAGTCATCTTTCAGCTGAGGAAAATTAGCTAATAGAAGCTAAAATATTTGTCTGGTGATCTAAAAAGAGCAAGACAAAAGTGATGCTAGGTAATGTGTATAATGTATATATTAGTGTTATTCAGCTTTTAACCAGGTAGACCAATTTCTTTGTTGTCAGAGAAAATCTTTGTATATCTATGCATATCATGTTTCCTGTGTCTGTACAAATTTACATGTGCTGTGAGAGCACGCAGAGGGGCAGGATCTGTCTGGTCCGGAGAAATGCAGCAGTAGACATCAGACTTCTGTCACCGTCAGTGCGATTTGCTGAGTCCGTGGCCTGGTGCCTTTCTGTTCCTGAGTTGCCTTTAATAAGGGGAAGCCGGTTACATAATTTTATTCTAGGAAGCTTCAAGATGGGTAGCTCCATTATTTAAAATACACAGACAAGTCATTTTTCTTCTAGGAATGCTCATTATATTAAAAAATGAATGCCAGCTAACCCCATCTGTCCATCCACCTGTTACTAACAATTTTCTCGTAGACATTGTGGATCTTGAGATTGGTCTGCTGGATAGAAATGTAGGCTGCCTTTTGAGTGTAAGACCAGACTCAATGTTTTTGTTTTCAGAATAAAACAGAGATAAAATATAAATCACTACTTCTGTAACTCCCCCAAATCATGTCTCTGTATGGTTCCTATGCTCCTTAAAGTGGGTCACTTTCCAAAAATATTACACCTACTCTTCTTCCTTTATTTTTGAAATAATATTACCTTATCTTTCTACAAATTATTCTAGACATGAAAAGTACACAACTTTACAGACTCAAAGGCAAAGAGATATAAGTTTCATTTCTTGTAGCTGTTGATAACGTGGTATTTAACTTTCATTATAAACCTTGATAATTTGGTAGTTGATATGGAAGGTGGACTAAAATCCCAAATTCATTGTGATACCAACTGAAAATTAGGTTACGAGCTCCCTGTTCTTCTGATCCTGGTGTTGGCATAGGAAGTGAAGTTGCTGTGACCCATGAACTATTGTGGAAATTGCAAATTACTGAGTCTTCTGTGAGGGAATTTCTGTTTTCCTTTTGTTTTATTTTCCCACACCTTGGCCGGAAAAAAGAATACATATCCAAGAAGTGAATGTAGCATTGTAGTTTCTCAAGTTGCTTAACACAAATCTAGATAAACGAAAAGCCTCAACAAATGTAGATGAAGAAATTACTGGCTGAACTACAGGACATGGAATTCTTCGGTGGTGGAAACTAAGGTGCCCAAAATCCTTACCTTTCTATTTTGGTGAGGAACAATGCATTTCTATTTTAGCAGTATGTCAGGAAGGCTAAAGAAAATAAGTTCAGTCCAGAGGAGGTAAAGAAATGTTGGGCTATTGCTTTACTCAACTTTTATGAGTATGTCCATTCTGATTTCTTCATTTCATAGGTGTCTAGATAGTATGGACATATAAAAAAAACCTTCTTGAATATGTAATTTAATTTCTTGTATTAGAGAAATAAGTAGTTTCACTTCTTTTCCACTACTTTGAATCCAATAAAGTATGTTTGACTAAAGCATGCTTTTGTGAGCCACAGAAATGTAATCATGAAAGCTTCAAGTAATGGGAAATGTGCTACCTTCAGATTGTGTTTATCTGTTGTATTTTTATCTTGGGTTATTCAGCTGCTCTTTCTTTTTTTCTCAGATAAGTTAAGGATCATCCCAGTTTAAACCTTTTCTTTTTTTTTTTTTTTTTTTTCTGCTTAAAATTGCATATACAGTCTGGTCAAGTCAAGAATAGTATCTCGTTTACCTCTGTTTGGGCTTAGATTGCAATCTGCCTATGTAGTGACAGCCTCCACAAGATACCATGTGCACACTCCACATGCAAAGATTTGGATCTCCTTAAAAAGTTTCAAAGCGCTTTCCTTCCTAAAGAGAACATCTAATTTGGAAGTTTATCTTGGCAGGCAAATAAATACATAAGTATTTAATCCCTTTTTGGTTTGAACTCTGAACCTGATCTGACTTTTAAGGCAGCCCTACTTTGACCAGAAGTTTGTAGTAGATGACATCTACTACATCAGGTCCCGTACAGCCAAAGTTGGTCTGATTCTGTGATTTGTAGCACCACCAAGACAAATCCACGTTTTATTTTGGCGTTTACACTTGAGTATTTGGAGTATCTTTGTATGATTTTGGAGAATGCTTGAAAAGACAGAAATGGTTGTACACAACCCTTTGGGCTCCAAAAATGACAACAAAGTCTGTGTGTGTGTGTGCGCGTGTGTGTGTGATTCAGGCTCTGAACTCAGTGTATAGGTAGACACACGAGTGACAGATTTTCAAATGGTGGCACATCCACTGATTTCTACTGAAATTTTGGGGAGTAATAAAGAAATGCAATGTGGATTTGAAAAGAACACCTCAGTGAGTCAGGAGAATGGTGCATTAAAACTGAATTTTAGACAAGCTCATTAGTGTTCCAGATGAGAAAATATGGATAACCTATGAATTGATTTAGAAGAAATTATAAGACAGGAAGGCTGTCTGAGCTGGAGGCAAAAAAAAAAAAAAAAAAAAAAAAAAATCCATTAACTGATCATGAGAACACATTAGAAATGACAGAATCGCATTTATTCTAGGAAGACCTGAACTAGCAAACTAATTAAAACTTTCTCTGGCTGTCAGAGATGCAAGAGTATTGGAGCTTGCTGGGGTACCCGTTTTCCCAGTGCTTGTTGTCATGTTGAAAGAGTAATGGATATGCCCTGCCACACATCTGTCCTGGTTTCGGCTGGGATAGAGTTAATTTTCTTCCTAGTAGCTAGCATAGTGCTGTGTTTTGGATTTCGTACTACAAGAATGTTGATAACACACTGATGTTTTCAGCTGTTGCCAAGTAGTGCTCAGACTACTCAAGGACTTTTTGAGCTTCTCCTGCTCGGCCAGGTGCATAACGAGCACAGCTAGCACAGCTAACCCAAACTGACCAAAGAGCTATTCCAGACCATAGAACGTCATGCTCGGGGGGGTTAGTTGGTCGGTCGCGGGGAGACTGACTGCAGCTCGGGGAGTGATCGTGGCTCGGGACGGGCTGGGCATCGGTCGGCGGGTGGTGAGCAATTGCATTGTGCATCATTTGTGTTGTACATTCTGTATATTCTGTTATCATTCTCATTATTACTATTATTTTCTCTTATTAAACTGTCTTTATCTCAGCCCTTGGCTCTAACCTTTTATTTTCTTCCCGATTCTCTCCCCCATCCCACTGAGGGAGGGAGGAGTGAGCGAGCGGCTGCGTGGTGCTGAATTGCCAGCTGGGTTAAACCGCGACAACGTCTCTTGTCACATTATTTTTACTGAGATTTTGTAAGAAATGTGTGATTGAAAAATTTATTAGAATTTCTGTTCTCAACAATATTGAAATTAATAATTGAAACGTGGGTTTCTTTTTTCTGGTTTCAATGTCACAATTAGCTAAAAGTAGAAGGTAATTGTATTTATTGCTAGTTTTGTTTTCTGAGAGTTTATAACAGTTAATCTTTTTTTACTATAACTCTTACAATTTTTAATTCTATGAAATTTTTATAAGGAAATGTATAACTAGAAGACATCCTTAAGGGATATTGCCTCTTATTCTCACCTTCATGCATAGTAACCCAAAGGAATCACAATTCTGTTTGTCAGACTGTGGATGGTTTTCATAAGAAAAAAGAATTACATTTTTAGGAAGGACTTAACTGCCATTACCTGACATTTTATATGTAGCTGCAAAATAGTGCTTGTGGAGGTTGTCCATAAGGACTCAGGGGATATTTTTTTGGTTTCTCGTGATTTTTCCATAATAATTAAATGCAAATATGAATACAATTTATATATGTTAAGGAGAGCAAACAAACAAACAAACAAAAAATCAACCATAAACCAGCAACATTAATGCCATTCTTGTTTTTAGAAGAACACCAAACGTACTCACGTGTGCACACGGGGATGAAAAGCTGAAGGAGTTGCGTATAATTTTTGAAGACAAGGTCTGCTCTTTTGCTGAGTTTTTGGTTTTCTAGTGTCAACCTGTGGTCCTTTGCAGTAGTTTTTCCTTGGTTTTTTAAATAGCAGTGTGGCTGGTTTACAAATGTGCCTTTATTATCAGAGCCATGCAGCAGTTGTGCTTTTTAGGACCATTATGTATTATTTCAGGATTGTCACAATAACACAAATAATAGTGAGTGTTCCTGTTGCAGATTTTTTGTGACTGATCATGTTTTCCTTCAGTATGACACATTTTTGTCCTTCTGGAGGCGCTGTGAAGAGACAATTCTGAATTGCACTACACGGTTTGTGGTTTTTTTTTTTCCCCCCAGTAAAGTTAAGATGCCCATTATAGTAGCTTAGAGTGAAACCGTAGTATGGTGTAAGGCAGAGAAAAATCACTGAATAATGATTTTGCATTTTTTTCTTACAGTATAGTAACGCTCAGCAAAATTAAGTAACCTATATCTATAAAATAAACAAGTCATTAGGTAAAATTCCAAATAGTTTTAATTAGTGTAATTTGTTTAGAAAATCATAGTAATTACAGCTGATGT